ATGTTCGTTGCATCGATGACATTGTCTAACCATCTCATCCTTTGCCATCTCCGTCTTCTTTGACCTTCAATCTTTCCCAGCATCAGGTTCTTCTCCAGTGAGTGCTCCCTTCTCATTTGGTGGCCAAAGTATTTGAGCTTCAGTTTCATTATCTGGCCTTCCAGGGAACAGTCAGGGTTGATTTCTTTTAGGATTGACTGATTTGATCTTCTTGCAGTCCAAGGGACTCTCAAGAGTCTTCTCCAGCACCATAGTTCAAAAGAATCTATTCTTCAGTGCTCAGCCTTCCTTATAGTCCAACTCTCTAGCATAAATATATGTACCCTACACAATCCACTGCCTGTAGCCAAGCCCTATGATACCACCTGATTTTGTTATATTTCTTTGAACAGGAACTTGCACATAAAGAGTAACTGATGTGAATCCTTCAAAGTGCAATACTCACCCAATGAAGCAAAGAAACGCACTGATAAAGTCACCGCAGCTCTCAAAAATAACTTAGGACAGGTCGAGAAGAGAATGTGATGGCGCCCCATTTGTCATTTACAGCTCAAAACATAGCAAAGATCTACAAGGCCACTGTGGTCAAGGATATTTCTCATCACTGGGATTGGAAGGGGGCATTTCCTTGCTTACTAATAAGCTCCAAAGCAGGTGCCCTCCAGCAGGGATGGTTAACCTAACAATGACAGCAGTTCAGCATTCTACAGTGCCCACCACTACTTCTGCAACCTCCTGGCCTTTCGGGAAGTGGGCAGAGCCATTGGAGGCATGGCCAGTTAATGTCTGCCCTCATTCAAAGACCAACCACAGAGCAGAACTAGACATGACAGCATGCCAGTTCCAGTCCCCCACCCTGTTTCAGCACTTGAAAAGGCATGTGGGGGGGGGGGGCCCAAATGCCCTTGTGGCATTTTTAAATCACCCTGTGTTATGTATTTGCTTATGTGTTGCAGAGCTTTCTGGATGACACTTCCACACTGGATCCCTTCCAGTCTGGCTTCTGCCTGGGTCACGGGACTGAGACAGCACTGGTCGCCCTCACAGATGCCCTCCCGGAGGCATCTGGATCGGGGCAAGGCAGCGGTGCTGCTGTTGTTAGATCTGTTGGCGGCGTTCGACATGGTTGATCATCAGCTGCTCGCCCACTGCCTCGCCAATGTGGGGATTTGGGGGCTGGCCTTGCAATGGCTTGTCTCCTTTCTCCAGGGTCGGGAACAAAGGGTGGCGCTTGGGGAGGAGATGTCCCGAAGGCACCCACTAGTTTGTGGAGTGCCCCAAGGGGCAGTGCTCTCCCCAATGCTATTTAACATCTATATGCGCCCCCTTGCCCAGATTGCCCGGAGGCATGGGCTTGGGTGTCATCAATATGCAGATGACACCCAGCTCTATCTGTTGATGGGCGGTCAGTCTGGCTCTACCCCGGAAGATCTGGACCGGGCGTTGCAGGACGTGGCGGGATGGCTAAGGCTTAGTCGACTGAAATTGAATCCAACGAAGACGGATGTCCTTTGCCTGAATTGGAGTGGATTGGGGTTAGGGGTCCCTCTTCCGGCCTTCAGTGGGGCGCCGTTGGTGCCAGCGCCGAGGGTCAGGAGTTTGGAAGTGCTCCTGGATGCTTCCTTGATGATGGAGGCCCAGGTAGCAGCCACTGCCAAGGCAGCCTTTTACCACCTTCGGCTGATTAGGCAGTTGGTCCCCTTCCTCGAACGCAATGATCTGGCTTCAGTGATCCACGCTATGGTCACCTCGAGGCTAGACTACTGTAGTGCTCTCTAAATGGGGCTGCCCTTGGGGCAACTCCGGAAGCTGTAGCTGGTGTAAAACGCGGCAGCCAGGCTGTTGATGGGCCTCCCCAGGTGGGAGCACATCCAGCCTGTGCTGAAGTCGTTGCACTGGCTTCCAGTAGCGTTCCGGATTTGCTTCAAGGTGCTGGTTTTGACCTTTAAAGCCCTTAATGGTCAGGGGCCTGCCTACCTGAGGGACTGCCTTTCCCCGTACATTCCCTTGAGAGCACTGCGGTCTGGAACACAACACCGCCTGGGCCCCCCTGGGCCTAGGGATGCCAGGCTGGTGGTAACTAGGACCAGGGCGTTCTCCCTGGCAGCGTCAACACTGTGGAACGAGCTTCCCAATGAGATTAGAGCTCTACAGGACCTCCAGCAGTTCCGTAGAGCTGTGAAAACGAAGCTGTTTTGCCAGGTGTTCCAATAAGAACTGACTGTACCAGTTGGGTCGCACTAGCACTTTATTACAGGATGCCGCTGTATTTATTCAGCTTAATTGTATTTATTGGAATTTTATGGAATTGTATTTTATATCTTGTAATTGCTGGTTTAAAATTGTATGTTGGTTTTAAATTGTTTGTAAGCTGCCCTGAGCCGCTTCGGCGGGAGGGCGGGGGAGAAATTAAATAAATAAATAAATAAATGTGTTATGCTATGTAACCTAAACTGGAGCTTCAGGCACAGGCTTCATTGACTCCCAGGTATTCTAAACCCTGCAGTCGGACTGGTCGCTGTCGCATAACGGACCAATCTGGAAAGACTCTGACCTTCGGCGGGAATGAATCCCATTGGTCCTAAGCTCTTAATTATAATTGTTCATTACTGTGCTAGGAGGTGTGGCCTCACTGGTTCAAAATGTATATAGTTGCATCAATCTATGAGTCTGTTTGCTGTGTTCTGAGCTGAATAAAGAAACCACTGTTTTGGAAACGCTGTCTCAATCTCAGTATATAACACTGGCGATGAGGATGGGATCTTGTGGGTAGGCAGCCCCATAGAACCTGAGCTAATCACTGCAGTGGGTAAGGAATTGTCGCCTTGGCTCACTTGAACTAATCACTGCAGCGGCCAAGGAATTGTCTCCTTGGCCCACCTGAGCTAATCACTGCAGTGGGCAAGGAATTGTCGTGTACTGCCCCAGCCAGCGTTTGAGACTGTAGCTAAGTAGAACTGCCATATATCTTTAAGAGCAGTTTGCCCCTGGGAATTGTAGTCTTTAGTTAGGCATCCCAATGCATTCCTCACTGGCTGATTAACAGTCATTTCCTCCAGAGGCGGGAAGATTTTTGAGTTTTACAACTCTCTTCCCCTTTCTTTTGTTCTCTTCAAACTGCAAGGAGTTGGGACACGCATCCTTTTCACCATGAGCCAGTGAAAAGAATTAGATTACAAAATATGTAAGTAAGAACTGAATGCATGTGGAACTGAATAAAAATGGTTTAATTCTACGTTGGCCGTGCGTTGAAACTGTCCAGAAGGGAGGAGCGGAAGGCTTTGATTAAGGAGTACCAATTATGCTTCAGGTGCTGTGAGTCCAAGGAGCACAGATCTAAGGACTGCACACCTGCTTTCAAGTGTCACGTGTGTAGCAGCCCCAAGCACCCTGGTGCCCTGCATCTGGACTCTGATACGCCTCAGCAACCCACGCCTGACTCCACCACCACGATAACGTCAGCAAAAGCATCGAGTACTCCCACTCAGCAGGTTGGCACCCATTGTATTCAGGTTTGTGGCGCCACGAAGACTCAACGGTCCTGCCATCAGATATGTCTCGCTAAGGTTTTCCCTCCAGGCTACCGCGAAGATGTACATCATCTTAGACGGGCAGAGCAACCAGTCCTTAGCCAGTCCAGCTTTCTTCGAGCTCTTCGATATTCAGGGTGAAGAACTCCAATATACTCTGAAGACGTGTGCTGGGGTCCAGCGCACGGCGGGGAGGACAGCCGTCGGGTTCCAGATAGAATCACTCGACGGCAAAACTCAGTTCCCCCT